ATCGTGCGATGTCAATTCTAATGTTGACAAATGAGACTCCCCCTGATAGTATATTGGGTACATTTGTAACACCATTTTATCACCGCCCTTGCCAATTGTCAAAGTATCCCGATTCCAATCATTCTTGGCCTTTGTTTGATAAAGCCAAGGTCGTCTCAATAAAATTGGATATGATAAAGTCGATCATTGTTACCGAAAGATGATGTAATCAATTTTATATGCAATATCGATAATTATAGTTTGAACACTCCATAAAACACCCATTGGTTTAACTCGGCTATAATCTGCCATCCTTAACACCAATGTTGTGGATACTAAGTGTTCCAAATCTAAAGCATCCATTGTATAAACGTTCATTAAATTGACGTTGGAACCACCATCTACCTCAACACCCAAGATCATAACACCGTCAATCGAAACATCGATGGTTAGTGCACCAAGATCAAGGTTCAAACTGACTTCACAAACTTCTTTATTATGTTGGTTATGTCATATTAACAATGAATTCAATATAGAACGGTATTCTGCTGCGACTGCTAGAAGTTGCTTCATAGAAATAGAAGGCCAAATAACATCTAGATCCTTCAAAATATCATATGATTCCATATTTAAGGTTATTTCCAATGCCTTCTTTCTTTTCATAGGATTGAGTTTAACTGCGAGAGGTAAGATATTCTTTCATCCTGGACTTGAAATTGGAACAGTAGCCGAAGCTTCCTTGGAATTCACGCCTCCGAGAGGAACTTTCAATAAATAGGACATTTCTCTAAACTACATAGAAAATGGAACAGCTTGAAACAAAACTGAAGCCTCCATAATCGAGACCTTATTGGGTTGCCCAACCGAGTCACGTCTCATACTGAGTAAGAGGTCTACAACAGGACTTGGATTGCATGTCCTCGTAATTGGGTCAAATTGGCCATTCGCATCAGGTTCACCCAAATGTTGAATTGGTCTTTTTTCCTTTTGATGACTCCTGGTAAGAACAGCTTGGACACATTCCACTCGATTTATCGAAGAATATTGAGGACCTTGATTTATCTCCTCAATTTTTCCTTGGCTTTGGATCTGCTGATCCCGATTATTGAAATTGAACGGAGCATTACATTGCTGATAAGTTTACCCCAATTGCTTGTCATTCCCACACATTGACACATAATCGTCACTAGCTCTATGATTGGGACATTCACTGGCATAATGATCAATATGTCTGCAATGGAAACAACAAAAGTGGTCTTCTTGCACCCCCATCAGGCATATTGGATGTCTCTACCGGTATACACCTACTAGGCTTGTTCCATGTAGGGTTAGAAGATGATCCTCGTTGTCCCATTGGTAAGGAAGGTACTTGGTTCGATGATGCCGATGGAGCATATTGCTGATACATCTATTGCTCCTTCTCCTAGATTTGGAAGTTTGATGCAAATCCCTGATTAAAATTGGAACTTTGAAAGTTATTGAATGCTCGATTATATTGATTAGATCGATTTCCTTCCATCCATATGTATTTTCCGTTTGAACTTAATTGACATCCCACTGAGTCGGTGGGATCATGGTCTGATTACTGAATTATTGTTGCCTTTGCCAATTCCAATAATTAGTTGTTAAATGCTTTCCTTCGCAAAATGTACATTGATCCATCATTTGTGAGGGTGAAGGACATTCTGTTACCAAATGACTATGGCCCTTACAATTACTGCACCATACATTGGTCCTAGTATTAATAGGCTTATGCCTCTTCTCCTTATTCTTGGCCATATTAACGGCCATTTCCTCCATTTTCTTCGTGAGGTTTATTATAGGCTTCATTAGAATCTTTTGGGGCTGGTATTATTAGTAACTCTGCCACTTGTTGTTGATATAGAAAATATGGAGCATACATTGTTGTCACGTTTGGTGGTATAACTTGCAATGGGATGACATTAACTGGCCCCTGAATATTGGCACTGGAATTGGCCACTGTTTCTAACATCCATGGAATAACTACCCATTGATCCGTTCTAAGTCGGATTTTGATAACTGCCTTGAACTGGAATCATTGTGGCACCCGTAGTTAAAAACTGATCGTAATGGCATTCCTCCAAAATCTTGACTCTATTAAGAGATGCAGTTATCGTATTTAGTTGAGATTCTTTGATAAACATTTTTAGTTCAGGTGGGTGCAATCCGTTGATTAATATGGACAATACAAAAGCCTCTGGCATTTGGTGATTTGGCCACTTACGGAGTATATCTGCCACACGACCATAGTATGATTCTATTGTCTCTCTTGGATCCATTTTGCTAGTCATTAATCTTTCTCAAAGTCGATCCTCAAAACCAATTGAGCAAAAATGGATTAAAAATGCATTCTTCAATGCTTTCTAATTGAAAAATTGTTCCACTGGTTGACAGTTGTATCATTTAAATGCAATGTCTTTTAAGGTTGCTGGCAACTATTGTAACCAAATATCTTTAGTTCTTCTATCATTGGCTAAATATGTTGTCAAAAACTGAGACAAATGTTGATCGGGATTCATATTCAAAAAACCCCTAAAAGTAAGTAATAGAGCCACGCTCGTTGTGCGATCGCTCACGTCACCCATTTGTACTGCTGTTGGAACTACTGGACCACCTGTCGCCATTGAAGAGAACAATGTTCCACTTAATCTTTTTTTAAAAAAACTGGCGCCTTCCCCAATTGATTGTTGTGAATTTTTAAGTTTCTTCAATTTACTATTATTGTCCCTTACTAAGTTAATCAGTTGAATTGAGAGTGAAAACAATAGATTTTAAAATACACTGAATTGGCCTTTATTGACCAGTAATTTATGCTATTCTACTTAACCAGTTTTGACGGAAGTGAAAACTTTTGTTCTTGGAAACGTATCCAATGGAGTACCTAATTCTTCTATGATTCCTCTACTCGTAGTTAACGACCTCAAGGAAAATACTAGTCTATTGACCAAATTTTTTGCTAGTGCTCTTGGCAATTTCTCTAACGGTATATACTGCTGAAATATTTGATGTCGATCAGCTTTAGGGTATACTCGGATATGCCGACAGGCATGCAACCATGGTTTAATCTAATTTTGTCGATGATTTCTTTTTAACTTCCATTCTTGTTTGTTACGCAATAAATTTATTACTTGCGATCTCTCTATTCTTTCTTTCGATTATGGTATTCTCTTTATTGTTAAGTTCTCATTCTTAATAACTATACTCTTTCATTATATTCTACTGAATTTGCTTCCTATCTCCCATCTAACTAAACCAGCAATTAATTCATAACACTCAATGCTATTGTCTATCTCCAACAGCGGTGCCAAAATGTGATTTTGTTTTACTTATTCTACAATTCCTTTCAATATAAACCTATATAGGAGAATTCGAACATAAGGAAAGAAAGTGCATGAGTTTTGCTTATTAGGGTCACACAATTAATTGTATTCCAAACTACTAAAACACTAAGAAACACTACAATATTTTTTCATAGTAACAATATTCCTTCATCAACTGATAACAACAGTGTGCAACCTTGCACTCTCAAAAGACCATTCAAAACACAATAATTTCCATCCAACACCATGAATAACAGATTTCACTCCAACAATCTAAATTTTTATAATTTCTGTAATCACAAACTTCCTCTGTCCAAACACACTTAGTTCTCAATAAACAACAATCATAATCTTCCAATAACTCCTCATATAATTTAATTACTCAGTACTCCAATTACATAATCAATAAATCATAAATCAATCTCTGATTTATTCCACAAACTCACTTCTAAATATTCAAAAACTATCCATTACTCTTCAATAACAAAGAAACAAAGAGACAAAGAGGTAAAGAGGTAGCACCAAGCTTACCGTGGCTCATAACTATCATAGTCTGGCCCTCATACTGACTTCTACAACTCCTATATAATCCTCCTGATTTCCAGATTCTAACCATAATTTTGTAATTAACTGCTTTAAATAACTAAATCAATCATCCATCCTCCTGAACTGACTATTCTATGGACTATTAGTCTATTTTACCAATATCTTATAGAAACGAACTAATATCTATTCTACATTTACAAACAAACACGCTTAAAAATCAAAGACTTGGAAACATTGGTAAGTTCGATTTTATTAATCTTTGGATTTGAGTGTGTTGGATGTGCATGGATGTAGAGAACTAGTAATGCATACAAACCATCCAATTATAATGCAGAGCAGTAGAGAATGTTCAAGCTTGAATTCATACTCATTACATTACAGACGAACTAGATTAGAACAAACAGATTCACCTCTGTAATACCTTCTTTTTTTTTAAATGCAACGAATATTACATGAAGCACAAGATCAGACAGTCAGAAATACTCATTTTCTCAATGTCCTTTGTTGCCGAACAGGCTGTGTTCCTGCTTTCGAATTCAAGGTCACACCGTTTTGGTGCTAGTCACAGTCAATGTGCATAAGGTTGTGGCAGTAGTTCAATGTGGTTAGTTCCTAACGATCACTCTGAAAGCATGCATTCGAGGTGGTTAGAGGTGGGTAATGATTCGCTGACAGAGATCATACACTGCAACCACTGACTCGGATGAGTTTACGCTTTTTAATCAAAACTGATGAGCAGATTCATCACGGCGCAGACTGGAACAGCGTTACTATCGCATGTTCACCTCACTTCCACGGTCTCACCACACTTTCCATGTGACCCATTTTCCCATGTTTCTTCCTCTCGTGACTCTGTCGTCGTTTATGTACTTTTTTTTTCACAGCGAGCATGCGAGGGATGTGAAGCAGGATTTTCGCCGCGCGCATACCCAGTTATCTAGGACGCTAGAGTTGCAACCGGGATGTTGACCCTGACGGATCAATGCCATGCCCTGGTTGAAGCTGGTGGTCAACTTTACTCCAATGATGAAGCTGCAACTGCCGACGGTTGCAAGGCGTTTCTTGCAAGTAAACCGACCATGCTCGATCATCAACAAACTCCACCAGGCGGCGAAGCACTCCCTATGATATTTAAATTCTTCTCATTTTTCATCTGAATCACCAGATGGCCATCCATATCTGCGGTGCAATCCTCCACAGTCCCCACTACGTTTCCATTCGTCTGGTGCATGTATGCTACGAATCGAACCACGCATTCAATAATTTAGTTTCTGGAGAAATCTACGGAAATAATATCCACATTGGAGATTGCGGAGAAGCCAGGAGAGTCCATAGAAAATTGAGCAGTAGAGACAGAGCTTGTTCGTGGTTGAGGGAGCAATGGCGGAGGCGTGGAGAGTGAAGTGGGCAGTAGTGGTGGCGCTGCTGATGGGGAGTTTGTTCCTGTGGAGAGAGGGGGCAGCGGACAGCACCATCCAGAACTTGTCAAAGGCAACCATGTCGGTGAACAGCCACATTTTGGATACCGGCGACACTGTAACCATAGCCATCTCCAGTCGGGACAGCGTCACCTCTATCGACTTGGCCTACACTAAGAACATAACGGGAGTCTCCATCAAGAACAACAAAGAGTATTTTGTGGTGGAAAACCGGGCCGGCACCGAGGCCCTTCAGGAGGGCCAGTTGGTGGCGACTCTGGATCTTGTAGAAGCCAAGATCATCGAAAGTGCTTTTTGACTCAATCCCTCACATCATGTCTTACAATATTATGGTAAGTTTCCCCTTTCGCTCAGATTTTAGAAATATTTTTATTAAATTACAAGCCAAAAGAAACCTTCGTTAGAAAATTCATGACATTCAAATGCAAAATTCTCGTATCCTTCTCACACATCTCACAAAAACTAAGTTTTCAAGTTGAAATGTTTCTAAACTGTGCACTGAAGCCAGCAGGCGATGAAGTCCACTACAGTTTCTCGAGTTTCATTATATCTGCCTAACTTTTGAAATTGAAGATTATTATTGCGGTTTGTCAAAAGGAATCCCCTGGGGTGTGCTAATTCTGAATGAAGAATGCATTCCGAACTTGGAAAAATAACTGATGAGTCTGCTACTTCTTTGAAAAGAGTAAATCATGTACATGTGTGCTGCCAAAATGGTGCAGGATGATCAACTACTGGTATCAGATATCAAATTTATAAAATTTATTACCACCATCACGCAATCGACGAAAAAAACAGAAAGAAGTGACAAGTAGAGTAAGAGAATAAAAAGAAAAGTAGTAGTGATGTTACAACACAATGAAAGAAGTCACTATTAGATGCAGGAGAGGATATTATTATTATAGGGTTCGTGTGGTAAGGGAGTTCATCCCTAGACGTTGGTACGCACCTGAATCTGGTGACATTGATACTCCAGTCTTCAGGTCATACATTCATAAGATCAACGAATCAATAAAACTAACTGAATTGCATCACCTCTGCTACATCTATTGCTGCTGCAGAGCCCATCCGTTGCAAATCTAATTACTCGTGTTAATACTAAGCAGCAAACAAACATGTACATACACGACACAAAAGAACATGGTCATATTCTGTGCACAATACCCAATGTGCAATTCGTAGGAAGTATTTCTGTGGTGACAAGGACATGAATGCGTTTTACAGGTAGGGAGCATCATGCAAGATCTAAACAGGAAGGTGTCAGTATTTATACAGCTGATTGTCCGGACAGAGGTATATTTGGATATTGTAGATCTCACCTACATGTCTGTCAACTCAAAAGCCCGACGATTGCAGTTATAGAACTCAATAAATAATTGTGTAGTGGTACGGGAATAAACAGTGCAACATGCTCATGCATCGGAACATAATGAATCTTATGATGTAGCACATAGTTTTGAGAGGACTGTTTTGTAATTCAACACACCGTCGGACTACTTTCGATCACACATATATTCTCAAACTTGTAACATACATGTATCACTGTTCAAAATACGAAAGCTGTGCCAATTTGAATGCATCCTGCGTTACTCAATGTACATTTGTCACGTCACGGAAGCTCTTTTCTGCTAACGTTCAAGAATTTACCTTAAAGCGAACAAAGTGTCTAAATAAATCCAGATTTTCCGACAAGAATATTGTGTTATTATCCAGATAAATCCTTTCTAATAGTAGCTACACCTTGTGGCATATTGTCAAAATTCTCAAAACATAGGTTGCTTATCAAACCAGTTATATATTGCCTGTAATCACAGAAGGTACGTAATTGTTATAAACGTAGGACAACGTTTGATGCTGGTTTCATATTGTACTAACATGTCAGAGGATGTCACCATATTTCCAACTTAGACATGTATGTTATTTGGAAATAAGACTAACATAAAACACCAATCCTCTAAGACGACGAGGGGACAGTATGTGATACACACTCACAAATTTAACAACAAAGCTTGAAAACAAGACAATGCCTGCTTTAAACCAAGTATTTTATACACGTCTGTACACTAGTTTCATGTCGTGTTAAAATTTGCACGTCTGTTCAAATCTCTATATTTACACCCCTTACCACTCATGGAAGAGTAAGTTGCATGCGTTGGTTATTGGTAAGAAAAGTTGTTCCACACAGAAAGGGGAAAAATTGAAAGGACATTCTCAAGTAGACGCAACATACAATGTACATTCCCAAATGCGAGATCGAGATAATAACAGTTCCCTTCATTCAAATTTCTGAAGATGATTCACAGCCACTCACGTTCCCATGTGGCATAAATGCGCTACATAGTACACAGAATACATTCCCTATTTAAGCAAAATTTAATCATACTTCGTCAACAAGAAAAACATTTGACAGCCTCACACACCTGTCGACGCAGCCTTTCTTGGTTGTCGCTACAGGGAGATCGCTATTCACAAATTCCTCATTGTTCCACCCGCCACTACGAACTGTGCCAACAATCGTAATTTCATCAGACAACATGCTTATAAAAGATAATCTACACATCCTACCCGTTCATTTCAAAACGAATAACCAAAAACAATAATTCTAATGGTGTCCGTCATGGAGGAGATGGAAAATGAGACGCCTAGGGAATATAATTTCAATGCGAACTGGCAGATCTCCAGATCTCTAATCGGCACACACAAGGCATTCGACAATTAAACGGTTCTTCACGACAGGATGTATCAAGGGCCTTAAAGACCTTGTAGAAGATTGCACTAATCTTTCTCGAACACTTAAGTCTAATACGAACGTCATTACCAAGTCCAGACTTCAGTCGCCGACCGCAGACTACTTTCCATACATCTTCCTCGCCGCAGAGGTGGTGATGGCCAATTCAGTTACAATGAGATTCTAAGGAACTTCGGCGTCCGCCAGACGAACACGGGTACATGACACTGCTCAGCTGCATTAAACCAAGTAAAAGGAACATGTTCAATACCTCAGTACACCTCGACGTGCCACTGCTTGTTCTTCTTCAGCTTAGCGAGCTTCTCTTCCCAGTTCTCACCCCGAGCCTCTGCGACTCTCTTCAAGGTGTCCTGGATTCCGGGCATCATGCCCCTCAGACCGCAGAAGTAGATGTGCGCGCCCTTGTCCAGCAAATTGAACAGCTCCTCGCTGTACTCCTCGATCTTGTCCTGCACGTACATCTTTCCTCCCTTGCTGTTCTTCTCCTCACGGCTCAGCGCAGTGTCGTACCTGAAGTTCTCTGGGAAGGCCTCCTTGTACTTGGTGAACTCGTCGTGGTACAGAAGACTGTCCGAGTTCGCCACACCCAGGAACAGCCACGCAAGCCCGCCGAATTTGAACGTCGGCACGTCCTCCATGAACATACGCCTCAAAAATCCTCTGTAGGGGGCAATCCCGGTACCGGTGGCAACCATAATGTGGGTCGCGTTGGGGTCCGACTCGGGCAACAACATTACCTTTCCAGACGGTCCGGTGATCTGCACCTTGTCGCCGGGCTTGCAGTCGCACAAGAAGTTGCTGCAAATTCCCTTCTTAGCAGGGTCCTCGGCCTGCAATTCTGGGCACCAATACACAGCCCTGCGCACACAAAGGCTGGCGGTCTTGCCGTCGAATTCATCACCGTACCTAGTCGATGCGATGGAGTATAACCGCACGGTGTTGGGCTGGCCGGGCTTCTTGGGGTTCTCGCCGGGGGGGATGATCCCGTAACTCTGCCCCTCCCAGTAGGGCATCTGGCCGCCGTGGTCGATCACGATGTGGCATGTCTCACCGGTGGCGTTGGGGCCAACAATGCGCTCCACGGACTTGACAGTGCCGATGAATGGCTCCTTGTTCTTAAACAAATGCATCGGAGGCTCGGGCTCGCCCTCGAGGTCGGCGGTCAAGGCCACCTTACTGGCTTGCTCGGTGAGAGCAGCAGTGAAAACACGGCGCTGCGAGAAAGCAGCGCGATGGGAGCTGGAGGAGCGGCATTGCAAAGCGGGGAGGCGGAGGCCGGAGAAGAAGACGGAGGTGTCGGAGGAGGAGGAGGAGGGGGCAGAGACGGCACGACTGACTGCTACGTGAGCAGCAGAGGAGGCCTGGAGGCATGCAGCAGCGTGCGCCATTGTGGCAGAGAGGATGGTTGTTGATGCCCCCGCGGCAACAATGCTAAGCAGCAGCGACGGAGGAGCACCAGCAGGGAGGAGAGGGGAATGGAATGGTGAAGCGCAGGGGTGGCGAAGGGGGTGCGGGAGTAGTAGGCGATGGGGAATAGGCTACTTTGAGAGATGGTGTGGACACAACGATACGCCCTGCTCTTGCAAGTGACGCTGATATGTGGCGCAGAGAACGATAGCCTCATCTCCTCCTTCCACCACTAGTCTCTCTCTCTACACCCTTTCCATCGCTCGCTCCCTTCTCGCAGCCACTCCGTCCCTCACAGCTCGGTTCTCTTGCCTTGTCTTGGCGCTGTTCAATTTCCTTTGGATAAACTACATCGAAATGTTGGTTCAATATCGGAATAATCTTGCTGTTGATTGGGTATTTCAAAATGTGAAGTCTTCTAGGTTTTGTGAACTTTTAACTTTGCAGATTGTGTGAGAGAATGTGTCGGTAAAACCATGAATTTTATCAAAGTTAAACATAATGTCAATGTTGGTACCTCTGCTATTTTTTTATCAAACTGAAAGCCTCATTAGACTTTGCTTGAGTTGCTTAATTTAAAGCAATTTCAATGTAAATGACATCAGAGTATGGTTTTATTTAGGATAACAAATTTAAAGCGAATTTTAATGTTAACATTACAAAATTCTTTTCTACGATGTGGCCATAGGAAAAAGAATATTACTCTTGTCTATTGTAAGAGCAGATTTTTGTGCATAATAATGTTAAAAAACTGATATATTTGACTACATATTTTTTTGAAAGACATAGAAATACGATTATTTATCTTGGTTTATAATGCCTTTTTTGTGGAATTATACAGTATATTTTGAAAAAATGCAATTGTTACTAACAAACTCAAGTGAAATATTAACTTGGTTGTGATGTATTTACATATAAAAATATATGTGTTTTTGTCTATTGTGATGTTATTTGATGCTCATATGGTAGCAAAATTGCTATTGATGATGATGTACAGACATCCTGTTAATTGAATTGTAGAAAAATAGACATGGAATCTAAAGCTGAATTTTAAAAAATATTTATGGATAGTTTGGTGAATATTTAGGGTAATATTGCTCAGGATAAAGTTACTGTACATCAACACCAATTACAACTATGTTGATATTGTTGTATTTCTTAGTACATAGTATGCCATTTATAATTTGAACCTTATTTTTATTTCTGAGGTATGCTATTTACTAGGACATATCAACTTTGCCAATATAAAGTTTGTGCATTATTATCCTCAACTAAGAGTGCAAAATAATGTTATGTAAGAATTGTACATATCCTTAATTTTATATATGCAATATTTTTTTAATTATAGTTTTCCTTAGTATAGTTAAATAGAAAATTAGATTTTTTTTATTAATTGAATTCAGTGAAACTGGATATGTAGCAGACCAATATATAAACGCTATGTAGATAGTTTGGATTTGTTCTTATAAAGAACTGGTCCATTTTTGGTCTATGAAACTTCTCTATTTTATTTATTTATTTTTATTGGATTTTTTTATTACTCTACATAATATTTAATCACATTTATACGTCTATATTCAATTACTTTCTTTAGTTGGGTCTATTATCAATAGCATGACATTTTTATGATTGTTGTACAAAGTTCTTGAATACTTATTTGAAATTGGTTGACTTTACACCTTGGAAAATGTTCAATAAAAACTTAGAAATAGAAATTGAATCAAGTTTATTAAACATGTCAAATTCGCATGTTCTTTTGTTTTATGTGTATAGCATTAAAGAAATTAGAAATGAGAATTCTTCAGGTAATATCGAAATTTCTTGTTTATATTATTGCTAAGCTATTAAATAGATCTAAATTTATTGGAGATTATTTATCTTCTTTATATTTAGTGGTGGAAAGTAAAAATATTTAACCAAATAGTAGATTTAATTCTAAAGTAAAAGTGAAAAAATCTTAGTATATTTTTAAAATATTTTAGTATATAAATACTTATTAATATTTAATTTAATTCAATATAAATCTCTATTACTATAACATGATAAAATAATATAAATATAGATCATAAGAAATAAAAAAAGAGAAGAATATCAAACCTCAAATGTTTTTTTTACAAACTATTTTTTATTTTTATTATTTACTCTTCATAAATCTAACTTATTATAATTTAAAAAAAAAACACTAAAATTTTCAGAAACCACAATCAATTCATTATGTATGTATATATATATATATATATATATATATATAGTAATACCTCTATTTAAGAATCTCAAAAAAGAATTTTAGTAATTATGTGCAAGATTGTACTACATAAACAATTATCCTATTTCTGAGATTTTTAATGTTACCAAGATAATATATTAATTTCCTTTTAAAAAAATTTAAAATTTAATTTACAATTTGTTTCATCCAAATTTTTATTAAGACTTTAAATATTTTATAAATATTCTTTTAAAAAAACTATCTTTGTAGTATTTTAATAATTTGTAATACAATCTTACACATAAATTTTAAAATTCTTTTTTGAGATTTTAAAATAGGGACAAAGTTGTATTTAATAGCTCTTTTGATCGGACTTTATTTTTAGTACAAAATACTATTTACTATTTTACTATGTTTCGACCATTTAAATAATATTGTTATGCACTAATACAAAATATGTAATATTTCATAATAGTTGGTGAAAATATGGTTCACTTCTTGTTTTGTTTAGTTCCATGTATTCTTTAAGAATAAATTTTTGTTCTTGTTATCTTACTTTGACATCCAAAAATGCTGCATTATTTAGAACTTATGTGCCCAACAAAGAAAGAATTGATTCTTAATGTTGAGAGACTAAAAATGTCCACTGAGAAAGATAGGGAGACTTTTCCAAGACAAATTCTTTGTGTAGCTGAAAAGTGTTAGGTATGTCATTGACTACCCTATTGTGGTTTAAAATCATGGAAGAATAAATCTTTTCACGATAACTATTACAACTTTATTTTGACAGGATTACTTTAGTAAAAATATTATATTAACAAGTGTTTCAATAGAACACTACTAAGTCCTTATAAATAAATATAAATACATATAATATAATATAATTTGTAATATGTAGACGTACATGATGTTGCAACAAAATTAGTTAATAAGTAGAAAAAAAAAATGCATCTAGAAAAAAAAATCTTCTAATGTGTTTTTCCTTGTAATTGGATACTTAAGGGATTTGATGCTTTTAATGTTGAAAGAAAGACAAAATATTACTTTCTTCTTCATGATGCTATTGTGATGCTCATCGAATGCACATTAATGTGACACTAAAATATTCATCTGGGAACCAATTTCTATCTACTCAGGCTAGAAATTCCTATGGGTCATACAAACAAGTCCAAGTGGTCCTCCCTCTCTCTTTTTCAATCCTTCTCTGAACAAAGATGGTTCTCCGAAGCTGTAGCCTTCCTATGATGCCCCCCCTCCCCCCTTTCTGATCCCCCTAATGAGGTGAGGGGCTTCAACCAAGGAGCACCCTAATGTTAGTGAGTGTGTGTGAGTGAGTGAGTACGTGGATACGCATGAAATGTGTTTCGGGAAAGGGTAGAATTCCAATCCAGTCAGTCGCCTGCACTCTGACCTCGCGTCAATGCAACCCCGCATCGTATCGCATCGCCAGTGCCAGTGCCGCTGTGGCATGGCATGTACTTTCACAACACATTCCACTACTTTCACTCACTCACAGGCAATGCACTGCGGCTGTTGTGCTGCCGAAGCAGCAGCCTCCCACTGCAACAGCAACAGTCGCGTGCGGCCTCGATAAGTCAGTCAGAACTAGGAAAAGGAGGAGGAGGAGGAGGCAATGGTTTACCGGCAGGTGCTCGCCTTCGCATCTGCTCGTGCTCTGACTTGTGTCCGGCAACGTCGATGCCTGCTCTCCCCTGCCCTCCCCCCACAGTGGCCCTGGCTTGGCTCTAGTCGCCCCTCGCCCTCCTGCACCCCCTCTCCCCTCCTCTATCGCCTCTCTCCCCACTCTGGCCTCTGCTCTTCCTCTGGATGCATGGCGATGAAAGCAGACATGGTTGACGAGGCGTTCGCCCCCCCCTCCGCCCGGCGTTCTGCCCCGGGACGCATGCCGGTGAATGCAGGCATGCTCGGAGAGGCAGTGAAAGGAGCAGTTCGCGAGGCCTTTCAAATCCGTGACGTCGGTCCCTTGCACCGTGTGCTAATTCTGTTTGGGTTGTTGTTCACTATTGCCCGAGAGGTTTTGGGCACCATCAAACTGGCGCCGTATGGCGCGTATGCGTATCGGACTTATGTGTCGTTGCCGCCCTGGAGGAAGCACGAGACGCAGGACTCTCTTCCCCCAACTCGGCGCTGGTGGAGCCACAATACCCATGACGTTGCAATAGCTCGCAATGTGCGCTTTAGCCAGGCACAACGCAACCTGTGAGTTCTGGTACTTCCCTTCTCATTGTCTGCCCCGGATTTATTGATTGGTAATTAGGGGCGGATGATTCCCCTGGCTGGCATTGGATCTTGTCCACCCTTCGCAAAATTCATGGTTTCTGTTCAACGTTTAGGCGGACTTCGAGCCCTAATGCGCGGTGTATATGCGTGTCTGTACAATGATTTCTGAATTCTTTTGCCTTCTTTGCGCGCCTGTTACATCTGCATCCTTGGCACTCAGAGTACGCCTTTCGGGGTTTGATTCGAGTGCTTGATTCGAGATATTGCCACACAATCCATAATTCTGTACATGGCCTCACTGCGTAGGTTCAGTCTTTAGCGCTATATGTTGCTGGTTTGCGGCTTGGGCACCTTAATGATAGGTAATTGTGGATAAACAAATGCACACCTTGATCTCCTTCACTTGGATATGGCACTTGACCTATGCTCTTTTTGTATGTGTTACTACCGAAGGATGGAGTTCAAATTAAGCGGATCTCTTGTTACAGTAGTCAGCTGTGCAGGTTCGGGTTCTTTGTGCTCTTAGTTTATATTAACACAAAACGAGACATTTTTCCTGATGGCATCTACTTTGAAGGCTCACTTGTATAGAATGAATCTCCACCCAGCCTTCTAACATTAATTTCCGTCCCTCGATGGCATTTACGCCATTACCCCTGGATGGCGGAGTTTTCCACAATATTAGGCACCTCTCATTTGGAATGAAAGGGGCGATTGTAGTTCAGTTGAAAAAAATATCACTTCTACACCATTTTATGTCGCATCGGTGCGTCCTCCTTGGTTGGCTTTATGTGTTTCATCTGTTGCATCTACAGATGAAATTCATGGTTATTAGATTACATCTTTGAGTCTTCAGTATTGGATGTTTTGGAAAATGATGAAGGACGATGCTCAATCTGATACGATTTGTTTGAACAGATTGGACGTTTACGTACCCAATCGCAAATCAGCTGTAGGAGTTGGACTCAAACCTGTGGTGCTTTTTGTTCACGGAGGTGTCTGGGCATCTGGAGACAAGTGGCAGTTCTCTCCGTTAGGCACGTTCCTGGCTGAGAGCGGTGTAATTGCTGTGCTCGTGCAGTACACCCTGTACCCAGAGGTTAGACAGACTGCTCTCCTGCCTCTCTGACTTCCAGTTGAGTTTAAGCTCTCTGTCTTTTGCTTTGCACGAAGAAAGAGGTGCATTTGATGGTCAATCCCTTGTTTTCTTGAATTCCACCCAACTATTGCTCAAACTTGGAATTTTCACGATCATAGTCACTAGTATGTGAATTCTTTCACTTTCACATCTAGAATTTTAAATGACCTCTTGGCAATTGAACTCTTGAACACAGGCCAGACAAGCCAATTATTTGAGACCTTGTGTATTCAGTGAACAGCTGTGGTACCTGATTGTTTCGGCCGTGACTTAGCCCTCGTCTAATCCTTTGATAGCTCTTTGGCAAACAATCTGATAATATTCCTTTGGATTCAGTGAGGGATCGAATCCATGGCTGTATTTTACTTCGATTCATCTTACATGAAAATTTCCTTTGCTGATACTGGTCACGCACAATTGAAAATTCAAACCAAAGCTACCTTAAGCATCTAAATACATACAACCCCTTTGGCACATTGTCCTCGATTCCATATGTATGGCCCCTCTGCGGCGACGTCTGTACTAACCCAACACACTGATTCATCCACATTAAGTTATTTGCCTATGCTTCTTGACTCAATAATTGAATATCTACCAATGCAGGTACTTGCTATCGACCAGGTGAGCGAGGTGTCGTGTGCATTAACCTGGACGATGGACAATATCGCCCAGTACGGTGGCGATCCCGAAAGAGTATTTTTAATGGGGCATTCATCAGGTACAACCATAATGCTAATGGTGTTAGCTTACTCACAATAAGTACAGCCTCGTTTTGGACTAGTTGTTTGTGGATCAATCTAGAAGTTTCAACTATGTGCTATCTGATACCTGTTTAGTCGTGTACTGCCTCTATAGTAACTGTTGCTACCATGTAAAACCGTGTCAAGTTTGTGATGAGTATGGATGCTCCGTTTCGATTTGGTAATGTGGCATCTTTATGAATCATATAGGGGCACATTTATCATCAATGATGCTATGGGAGAGAGCAAGCCGTCTCGTGAAGAATGCTGAGCGACCTATTCCTGAACAGCTTGATCTTCGAATTCCTTACGGTTACTTAGGTCTTGCGGGTGTATATAACATCAGCGAGCACTTTAAGTACGAGGCAAGTCGAGGCGTAGAGGCAATCTCTTGTATGAGGCCAGCCATGGGTTGGGAAGAATCATTTGACTCCATGTCTCCAACTCTACTTTTTGGGGCTTTGCTGATGCAAGGAGGTGCTAGTTTTGCAACTAATCGTTACACTGACACTACCACTGAGATTCAAGTTCGAGGGTTGAATTTGGCTCCAAAGTGTCTGTTTCTTGCCAGTCGTGAAGACCTCGTAGTACCCCCTACTTCGAGCCTTGCCATTAACAGCGTGCTGCAAACTCTAGGATGCGACTCGCGTGTGATTGTATATGAAGACTTGAAGCATGAAGATTTCGTCTTGTGGCACAAAGGGTGGGGCACCTTGAAATCACACGTGGGATCATATTTAGAAGAAATTCTCAAATTTGTCATGGTGGAGTCTTCGTCAAACGATTGATTTATTAGGAGCTTTGTCTTACTGGACCTCATTTTTTATGTCCATCTACACACCTTGGTACCTAAACCGATGTAGAAACCCAAAACAACGTTATGGACACTAGTTTACAGCCTTCTTCGAATACTATTTTGCAATATTAAAAAACGGGATGTGAAGTATCAGAGTGTTTTGGACCAGATTGGCTGCCCATTTTGTTATTTTTAACAGGAAGAGCGGTGTATTTGAGAGGAATTAATGAGTGGTCATTATATGATCAAAGATTTAATTACTCTTTTACTTCAAATTTAGTACAAGTATTGAACTTAGAAGAGATAGAATAATTTTTTGTTTAAAAATCGTCTTATTAAATTGGAACTGTAATATTCATTTTACTGAAAATACATGTCATATCAGCTTTTATAATTATTTTAGCATATTTTTTATAATAAAAATCAAGATTTTTGTGCTCAACATTTATATGTTTCGAACTTTTGATTGTGTAGAAAAAATTACACAATATGACCATTTGAATTATTATTAACTAAAATGGCATTGTAGTTGTGTACGGTTATTATTAGAAACTAATTGAACTTGTGCCATTGTCATAGAAAGTTTGACTTGAAAGAAGCATTTTTTTTTTATGATACTTCTGTGAGCCAAAATATATTTTTCACAATTTTTTCAAAAAAGAAAGAAATAAAATTCAAAATGGAACTTTCAGCTACAAAGTAGGCTAGTTGAACTTGTGCCATAGTCATAAATAATATGCAAAAAATTAGTTAATTTTGTTAAAAGAACTACTTGTTAAGGCATAACCATAAAAAACATGAAATTGTGATAAGGTATTCAAGGATATACAAAAGTTAAAATTTGAAACTATGGATAAATAAATAAAAAATAATATACAAAAAAAATACTAATAATTAAATAATCAAAATTTTTGGATAAAAAATATTTAATATAGAATTTGAGTTCTTATTTAGAAGAAGAAAAATCTTGATGAAACAAAGCCTTAATCTGACCATTTCAAATGGACTAAGCGACTTGATAAATTTGGCTATATAAACATTATTCTTGTCAATACCATCTTTGACAACAACTTCATTGGTGCTTAAATATTCTCGTTCTTCTCAAGAAAAGATGGCTAGAACCTTTTGATGAGTATCTTCTACATCATCATTTTATGTTGATAAAATAATTTTATCTCTGTTGAAGCCATCATTTGCTACACCATCTTTTATCAGCCTTAAATAAACAACATCAACTAACAATATGATTTCTTGATTGACAATCATATAATCAAAAAATGTAACTACATTATCAAACAAAATGCTTGTACCATTTTTAATTTGACAAGTGACAAATAGAAATATTACTTAATCATAATGCAACCATAAAGAATACAAATGCACCACCATTATGTACAACCTCTATGTACATTCCATACTTAAAGAAGCTAACTAACAAACTTGCTATTTGCTTTAAGTGATCTTGAATTCAATCTCATGTTCTCTTTTAATGTATAAATCTTTATCTTAGGCCAAAGTAATAAAAGTCAAAAAGATATTGCCATAATTTTCTCTTTAGTTCCTTTAAAAAATATTTGTTACAGTCTAGTAGAATCTTTTATATAGAATAGATAGTCATTCTTCTATCAAGTTGTATTGCGGCAATTCTTGATGATGCAATACATATAAAAATCTTTTACATTAATTGAAATTTAGTTGCCAAAGTGTTGTAGACAAAAATCTAACCAATTTTTGCAAGTGTCCTTGAAAAAACATATATCCATGTTCTTGCATTATAGAGGCCACAATATCATCATATGCATTTCTTTGTTTAAGATTTAATTGTGGAACATATTCCTTCAAATTGCTTCTAATTGCTGAATATTTCATGCTCTTTCTTCAGCAACTAATTGATTTTTATTGCTTTTTGCATTCCAATTTTTTTTCAATAATAAAATTAGAGGAAAGTATGCAAGTATTTTGTCAAAGTCTTGCAAAATCTTCTCAAACAAAAAGAAACCAAAATCCTTGATTTATTCTTTTGTTCAATTGCCAATTCCATATTCTCTTTGCAAATGAATACTAAGATCATTCAAGATGCTTTTCTAAAATATTTTCTATAGATTTATTAGATTTACTAGATTTCCATGAAGTAGCAAAATAACAAACAATGCCATTAATTGAAATCCACTTTGTATAGCTAATGCCTCTTCTAAATATTGTTGTCACTCTCTATTATCTTCAAGCAATCTTAGAGGTGCACATGCACTTTTAAATATTGGATGAATTTTTTTGTCAACAATCTTTAAGTAGTTAAATGATTGTAGACCTTTGACATGGATTAACAAAAGCCTCACATAGTATCTTTCTTCCAATGTTGGATTTGTAAAATACAACCATCTGTTAGCAAATCTATATTTCATTAATGTCTATGTCTTTTTTGTCTAATGCCAAAGAAAATGTTGTAAATTTTTTTGGTATATATACAACCTTGTCACAACCATTGTTGCACACAATTCAAAAAAAGAAGTTAATATTTTCTTTTGCTTTTTGACACTTTTCAAAATTGCACTAACCTTGTCATTTGAATCATATACTACTTGATGCATTCTTAGAAGATAGATGGCCAAAAAAACAACACTTGGCATTTCTTCATGGATTTACATGCCAAAAAGCCTTTAAGTAGTCTTTGGAGCTCTAATGTATCTCGCATCTATATATTCTTTGATTTTATCTTGTTGATTTTTGAATTGCATTGTAATGCAATCATGGCTTATGTAGATGTATTTATAGATATATTTAATTGTACAAATGGATGCACATATCTTAATATTTATATAACAATTATACTTTCAAGACAATTTTTTACAAAATAAAATAATATCTTCATTGTCAATAACTATTACTTAAACTTCAAAAGTTTTTTCATCATTTCTTTGTTGATATTAGAAATATTAATTTGCATCCATTGTTGTTTCTTTTACAAATATCTTTGGATACCTCTTTTCATAACAATTGTCTTCCATGCAAGATCCTTGAGAACTCTTTGTTCTACTTACATCATAAACCATGCATTATAGAACAACTTCAAATAGCTCGCAATTGCTGTCTTCATCAATTTTTTTTGTAAAAACCATATGATTAACATTTGTAGTATATCTGAGCTTGCTTTCATTTAAAAAAAAAATTAAGATGTGCATATGAGGTAGACATCTCTTCTAAAATTCAATGATATAAATATGTAGAAGAACATGACCAAAGTCAACTCTTTTCTTTATATCTTTTATAATTGTACATCTCTTCAGCTCAAATATACAGGAGACCAAATCTGGTTGATTACTTGCTTGTTATCTTAAAAGCAATTCATTTTGAAAATTTAACCATCTTGATTTTTCTTTTATTATCATAAAAATATTGGAATACTCATGAAACCTTATAATTGTCATAGAATCTTGAAGTATTTCCATCATATGTCTTATATTTTTAATATATGATGATGGAAGTAAGATCTGACATTATTGTGATATAATACAACTAATGAATGAAAAAAAGAAGAAAAAATTATATTACAGAAGATCTTATTTTAAAATATTATAACAAATTATCTTAGAAATATAGATAATAGTAAAAAAGATAGTAAATCTAAAAAGTGATAATATTGCCTTTTTACAAAATGGAGTTATATTTACTTTTTAAGACTATAAATAAGGCAAATCAAAGTAGATTGGAAAATGAAATGATATAAACATATATATGAAGGAATTAAGAGTATATTTTAGCAAATTTTACCTCAAAAAGCTAAGAATTGATACCTAGAAAGGACTAGCTATCAACTTGGATTGAAATCAGACCTTGAGGCATAAAACCACATACCCATGGTGACGTCAAATTCTTTTGTAAATTAGAAAGTAAAGTTTATGAAGAGACTTGAAGAAAGATTTTTAGGCATTGGTTTCATGTCATTTGAGTCAATATTAAGATTTTGAGAGATTTTCAAAGTTAGTGATGTTCTTAGTGGGATTGGAGATTTGAAAAATAAAAATATGTTTACAAATTTAAAGGTTTCTTGAGTTCTATGGTGTGTGTACAAGTGAATTTTGAGAAATGTGTTGGTTCACTAGTTGTAAATGTGTATGCAAATTTTGAGGTTAATCAAACATTTAGATTGAAATATATAAAGGTTTTTGTGGATTGAGGTCTCAAAAATTGGAGTTTGAGGGTCAATGATTGTTTTGAAGATCTTTAGTAATTTTTGAATTGGATTGAAGTATTTTTTATTTTATTACTTAATTAAATTAAATTTAATATAAATATTAGACTTGATTTCTAAAATTTTAGGTGAAATTTGAAAAAAAATCAATAATTCAAGAAAGAGATATTGGCGTTGGAAGTTGAGCATTTAGATTGGAGTAGAAGGTTGCCTAACATCCAATTGAATTGTCTTGCATTTCTTTCAATTGGTAAGTGCAATTGATTTTATCTTTCTTATGTTTTTTTTTCTAAATGAGACATGAAGAAGTGTGCAAATTTTGAATTGATATTAACGATTTGATCATTAGTTGTTTAGATTCTATTTTGCTACATGATTTTTTAGGAGTTTTTTTATGATTTAGTATTTGGTTTAGAACTTATTTAGGATTTAGGATCTCATTAGGATTTGACTTAGGATTTTATTAAGGTTCTATTAGGATTTTAATTAGAATTTGACCTTTGATTTGGTTAAAATTTAATTAAATTTTTAATTAGGGTTGTATTAATATTTCTATTTTTAACTATAGAAGGTAAGTAAAAATACAACAATAATTCTACTAAGTCTAATACAACCTTGAATAAACTTGAAGTAATTCCTAATAAATCTAATTAAACTTTAATCAATCAGAATAAATTTAAAAGAAGTCACAAAAGAAACATAAAGAAGTCATGATTTAATCTTAAAAAAGGAAATAAGAAATTTTAAAGGAAAAAATAAAAATAAACCTTTAAAGAAATAAAAACAATCTTAAAAAAATATTAGGCCTAAAGAAATAAAAATAATCTTAAAAAAATACATCAAGCATCCAATGTATTCTCAGATAAGAATATACATAAGACGACAACATCATAAATTATTTAATTCATATCACCTTTTTTTAGGCCTAATGCTTTGATGAGTTATAACAAAATCTTAATCTTTGGTACAAAACGACATATAGATTTTTTAAAATTATGACATAGATATTGCAAATAAGTTTTACTTAATTATTGCTCATTCATCAACCATAAATTCTTGCAATAGCTTTCTTCTACACAAAATTGTGGAATACTTGATATGCCTTTATAATAATCAATAAGAAAAATAATCCATATGTGTCATTATGTTGCCTCTTTGATCCTCTTATCTAGTACCTTTTCTTTTTTGATCAATATCCATCATTA